TGCCCGGGCCTTCGGTGGAGCAGCCTTACTATTACCCTGGATAACCTGTGCCAGCCGCATACTGACATGGGAAACTGGTCGGGGGATAGCCTTGCCTTGGGGCTCAGTCATCATGATGCTGGAGGTCTTTGGATTGCGCACTCGCAAGGCTGTGATTTTGTGGAGGTCGGTGACATCCTGTACGCAGGAGAGGTCCACCCTACAAGTGCGCAAGGAATAGTCTTTCCTGGAAAGACTGCCATGCACTCTACATGTCCATGGACTGGAGGGAATCGAATCATGCTGATTGCTTACTGTGTGTCCAGCTATGCAAGTGCACCGGCTGCCCTGCAAACACAGGCCAAAGAGCTTGGATTCGTTCTCCCTAGCTAGGCCTCCGGACCTCTTAGGCGCCTCACACACCGTCATTCTGGTTAACCCGTTGGGTTCTTACTTAGGGCCTACCCGCACTCCCCTCGGATATGCACCTCCGGACACCACTGGATGGCTCGCTTTTGTAACTTTCTGCCAATCTGCAGTACGACCGTAGGGGATCTGGTCGAGCGTTCATGCTGAAAAGGCGCACTTTGCCAAGCCGCCCTCCTCAGTCGCTCCACCCTCCCTCACTCATATAGTGTGCCTTTTGCGATGTGCTGAGGCCTCCCATGTCAGCTGCACCCAGTGCCTGCGCTTCGGCCTTATCGCTGGAAATGATGAGTGCGAATGCACCAAACACTGCAGTTCGTCGAATTTGCCAGACTAGGGGATGCCATGTCAGCTTTCGCGAGAATGGTCACCGACACTGCTGCGCAGAATGCAAGAGGACTTTTGGGGCAAGGCATTCGGGACGTTGTCGTGATGTGCAACGACGTGATCGGGCCAGTGTTCATGAGGCACCAGCTGCAGTTGGGAAACGCTTTTTCCCTTGTTGTACGTCGGGGTGTGCTAGGGTTACTACGGGTACCTACCTATACTGCTGCTCCTATTGTGCGGACTCTGGGGGCACACTACACTCGGTGCGCTGTCAGAACAGACGTGGCGTCACCTATCCTGCAGGGACCACAGGGGTTACAGGAACTATGCTCCCCTCGGCCACCTCGGTGACTTCGATGGCTGGAGCGGGAGCTGGGACAATGTTGGTACCCACGGCCTGGAACACCGCCTGGCCTGCTCCTATGTCAATGACTGATGCTGGCGACACTGCTGAACATGCTAATGCTGGAGACGATGGGGACGGCAGGGCTGCTCAGGCGGCAGCTAGTGATCGAGTATCAGCAAGGGCCTCTCGCTGGAGCTCCAGACATCCACTGCAGTATCCAGCATCGGCAGTGACTTCTGAGCAATGCGGGGCAAGTGAGATGAGCGAGGCATCATCGTCGGTGCAGCCTGTAAAGCCTGTACAGGACCTGACGTCGGTGATAGATCTTGAAGAGATGGATTAGCTGTATGCTAATATTTTCCGTGTGGCCACACTCTTTCAGATGTGAGAACTCTGCTTTGTGCTTTTTACTTCAAAGATTTGCTGTCCAGTGGAGCCGTTAAACAATGGCGCGAACCCGATTCGCCGGGCTTGAGGCCTGTCCCCGCATCGTATCGACTTGGACGATATGGCGATCGTGAGTGAGTGAGTGAGTCTACGACACTGCCTTCCTTGCCACCTTGCCGCCCTCCGCTACCACTGCACAGTGCCGCTGCTTCTGCCGGAGCCAGGCCCCTCGGAGTGGCTACAGCTGGGACGTTGATCTGGATGTGCAGGCCGGGCTCTTGGGAGACTCCAGGGAATTCAACAGCAAACCTGGGTCGCGCATGCTCGCGCCATTGATAGACGGACTGGAAGAGAGAGGAAGGCAGCGGCCGTAGATCTGCCGCGGGCAGGTAAGGCCACACGAGCTCGAAAGCATTCCCGCACGCCGGACTGGAAGCGATTTGGTAATTTTTTGCTTGGTGTGCTTGTCTTGCACGTTGGTTTGGCCTTGATGCCCGTCAAGCGTTCTCTGGCCCTTCAACTTCATTGCGATAGAGCCACTCCGAGCGAGGTATTCAACGTACTCGGGTTTAGGATCCTTATTACACTTTCAATATCATCCGCCTGCCATTTTTCCTGTGTGTCACAGTCTGTCATAATTAGTAGTCAGTAGTCGAGCTATCAATTTTCTGGGTGTTGCTATGGTTTCGAGCCTTTGTGTGTATGAGGTGTTGTCACTGTAGGTTGGTCTCCGTTCGCCTCTTGGGCCCTTTTGGCCAGTAAATTGGTTCGCACAGCATCTGCGCGCTTCTGACGGTGGAAGTCGAGAAGATGCCCTTTTGTTTGTTTTGCTGCACGTCAAGACTACGATGGAGGGTTCAGGCTTCTGAGAATTTACTGTGTGCGATTCTTAACTGTAGAAGCAAAAGAGCCCTCCACTCGTTGCGAGACCTTCTGGGATGCCGTCGCCCGTCGCCCAGCTTCCTTTGATGACAGTTTGTCAGCCGCGTGAAATGTCTCGTTGTAGGATGCCTTCGCAGGGGGGAGGAAGTCTTCGTTGGATTTGGGCACATGCGGTGAAGAAGTCCCAGATTCCCTGGGCAGTGGCGATGCCACAGAAACACAGACAGAACGTGTTAATGCAAATGGCTAACATAGACTTCGCTTCCTGGTTCCGATGCCCTTAGAAGGCCCTTAGAAGCGAAGCCCCCCAGCCGCGGCAAAAAAAAAAGCGGCCAAGGCCGCGACGAAAGCCTTCAAGGAGGCCCAGGAGGCAGGGCCGCGGTGTCTGGCCCGGTACCGTAGATTTGGTAGCAGCTCTAGCAATTGGCCTTGAGAGATCTTGAGGGCTTCTTCGTCTTGAATGGTTCAGCCTCTGCGTGCAGGGTCCCATTTCTTTTTTGGCTTCCATGTAGTTGAAAGTCCTTGCTTCAGGGTGTAGCCACAGGCACACATGCACACATCACACATCCATCTATCCATGCGTCCATGCAGTAACATGCGAGCCTTGTGATGTAACCCACAATCAGAGACTCAGATGAGACGGACCAGGTCTCGAACTGCCAGCACTTCGTCCGGGAGTGCCTGGAAGAGCTGTCGAACAGGCGAGCAGGGTCTTTGGGAGGTTCGTGGGGAGAAGACCGCACCTGCACCCTAAACCGAAACCCGGAGGCGCAAAGCAGGTAACACCTCTCCTGATGCCACTGCAGGTCTCCTACATGCAGGCTTCGTCTTTCTTCTCATTTACTTTACTGCTGGTGTTTCTTCTTTGTTCTTTTCTCCTTGAGTGCTTCGCTTCTTCTTTGTGCTTCGCTTCTTATTTTTAACATTTTCTTTCTTCTTCATTCAGTTTGATCATTATTTCAGCTTTTTTCCACCTTGCCTTCTTCTTTGTCCTCCTTTCTCCTCTAATTTTCTCATTATTCCTCAGTCTTTCAATGTTCGCTCTTCTTCCTTCACCCTCAACCTTTGGGAAGCTCCTTGGGACAAGAGACACTTAACAAAGGGTTTAGGGTTTAGCGTGTAGGGCCACGAAGCTCAAGGGCCGGTATGACTGCAAAGCCGCTGCTATGACAGAAGCCATGGCAAGCCTTGGTTGAACCTAAGCTGACCCACTCCATCTTTGCAGCTTCTGAAGCGCTGCTTCTTCATAGCACAGCCAGGATCCCAAGAGGGTGTATCCGACACTGCAAGCCCCTGGTTCGGAGACCCTACAGTCCTGGCCCAGGACCCTACGGCCCTGAACCCGAAAAAGTGTCAACATCACCTCATCTCCCCAGCAAGCGAGGGGCCACCTGCAAGCCGGAAGTCGTTCCCCCGGATTCTTGGTTGTCTGGGCGGCACTCTGGGTAGATTTTGGTGGGATAGGGCTTTTCAACATGGGCACGCCATGGTCTGCATACCCTAGATTTCTGTGGAGAAGGCTACACTGTGTTTCAAGCCGTCTCTTCCCAGAGGCCCCCGAGAGCTTGCCTGCCCCTGCTGAGACCTGTCCCTTCGAAACCAGGAGGCCGAAGTCTGAGCTTCTTGCTGTCCCTGTTGACACGTGGGGGTGTTGGTACTAAATCAGTATTGCGACCGCCACCACCACCACCACCGCTCGGGTGTAGCTGTCGGATGACGGCTTCTTGAAAGCATAGACGGACATTGTTCCAAATGCTCAGGCCTCCGATTGATGTCATCCGGCACTCGAGCTCTGACCATGTTTCATGCTGCAGATATCAAGCCTCTCCTTGATCAGTCAAGCCGCACTGATCCGCAATTTCTAGCCCAAGCCCCAGCCCCTGTCGGTAGACCTCAAGCCCAAACCACTTGCTGAAGACACCTGACTTCAAACCATGTCCCTAACCCTACACCCCAAGGCCCTAAAGCCCTGAAGCCCTCAACCCCAAACGGCCGAAGCCCCGCAGCCCCGACTCGCAATCCCCTAGACCCGAAAGCCTCAAAAGTCCACATGGAAAACTTTGCCCGAGCAGGTGGCCGACTGGCTCCACACTTGGGGATACCTTGACGAGAGTCGCAAGGCAGCGCACGGGAGAGTTCTGGGATGCCTTCAAACGGCTCTGGAGTTCGGGGTGGACAACTGTGGAATCAACTGAACTTGGAGCTGCAGCATGCTGCAGCCATTGCAGTTGCGACAGCTCTTGAAGCATCCCATGGGTCTGCAGACCCGTAGGGCGCAGTAGGGCAGGATTTGAAGAGTCAGTCCGGAGATGGAGTCTCGGCCTATGCTTGCTTCCTCTTTGGTTCAAAGCCATGCCGCCGCACTTTTCCCCCCCGCATCATGTCTAAACTTGAGTGAGGCCTGAAATCTTCGGCAACTTTCCCTGCGTGCCCACAGAGAGATCAGCCGAGCCCCATGAAGTTTCCTATCGGTATCACCGAGCCCCCGGAGGCGACCGTGAACCAAGCCGTAGCTTGGCCTTCGCCTCATGGCTTTCCGCTATGGACCAACTTCTCGCTACCATCGCTGAGCTGGACAAGGCGGCCATAGCTCAGGACTGGATTTCGGATTTCGCAATCGCGAAGCGCCGCCCCAATGCATCCTAGGCCCCTAGGCCCATGCCAAGCTGGAAATCCTATCCTGAACCGTGAATCGAACAAGCTTTGCATCCGGACCTCGAGCACAACACCCGATCTTGCTAAGTCCCGGCACCCCCAAGCCCAAAAACGCAGGAGAAGCGAAATGCCGAGCTACAGTCGGCGCTTCAGATAAAGTCGAAGGAGCTGGTTTTGCTCTCTGACCCGAACCGGTTCAGCTGTGCTTTATCGGGCAGTAACGATCAGGAGCGTGCCAGCTTTGGTGTAGTGTAATTCAGAGTTCTACTTTCGACTCGTAGGTTGTTGGGGCTTCCAAATTTTGCTGAGCAGAGTTGGAGGGTTGAGAGAGGGGTTCGTTCGGGCTTGAAGCCAGGGTTTAGGATTCTGAGCTAAGGATACAGGGGCTTTGGGGAAATGTTCGTGTTCGTGTATGTTCGTGTCAGTTTGACATTTTCCTGTTGCATCGTCAACGTTGTATCATCGAGGTTGCCGTCTGCAGTAGCAGGCTCACTGAGGATAGGAACCGTACTGTCAGTATTGGTTCAGGCAAGACAAGGATGTCGATGACAACAATGGCATTGCTAATGTTAGGGATGATAACGGGGATGCTCGATGAGTTTGGATATGGTGGGTGGTAACGATCAAGGAATGAAGAAGACGAAGGTGCTGACGGTGGTATTCTGATATCCCTAGTGTGACCGTGATGATGAGGATGAGGAAGAGGAGGACGGCAACAAAAAGAGGAAGCCACAAGAGCAAGCAGCGCACTGACAACAGTTCTGTAGCAGCAGCAAAACAAGCAAGAGCGACGAGAAGAGTAGCAGCAAGCATTAGTAACAGAGGGCTTGGAACAGGGGCTGGATGATGGGATGATTGAGGTTGAACCGTAAACCCTAAACCTCCTTATGCAAGGGCTACTGGCTGAAACTGTCGGTACATCGCTCACCCAATGGGGTTAGTCGGGAGGCTTCGGCGCACCGAAAAAAAAGCAAAAACCTCCTTAACCATGAGCTCCACAGCGCACATTTGCCAAACCCTGAAATCCGTAGCCGCAAAAACCAGAGCCCAAAACCGTCTAAAACCCCAAACCCCTAAACCCTAAACCAAGCTCCCGGAACGCAAGGCTCCAAGAGAGGCTCGCAGCCCTCCAGCCGGAGCCAGGCCTCACTCACTACAGTGTAGTTTAATCCAAACGGCATAAATAAGCATACGCAGAAAGATCAACAGCTAAATGAATAGATGCAATATATTATACGACTAGAACTATATATGTATATATATATATATTTTTTTTTTTTTTGTTTTTCTTTTTTTGATTTTTTGTCCTTATGGTGGATAGTTTACTCTGCTAGTCTTACAATATCATCATAGTATACCCTCCATGCCAAGCCCTGGTCTCGTGCTTGCCTTGTGGGGCGTTGTTAATTCTAGAACTGGGCTTTGAGATGCATGACAGTATCGTTCCGTTATATTGCACGTAGTTCTAGTCTAATGATCAATGATCATTATAGTGTATCACACTGCATTCTTCCCATTCTAGTACCTTTTCTAGTATGTTTAACAAGACTTTCCATTCTAGCACCGATATTCTAGTATGTTTAACAAGACTTTCTATTCTAGTACCGATATGCTAGTATCTTTAACAAGACTTTCTAGTTCATGGACTCCGCTTCCCTTTCGGTGCCTGGCCTCAGACGACTGGGCGCCGCCCCCACGCCGCTGCAGCCGGGCCGCCTCGGCGCTGCTGCGGCTGCTGGTGGTCCTGGGGGCCGTGCTGGTGCTCTGGGAGGCGAAGATAGAAGGATTCTTGAGGGGGGATCTGTCCAGCATCCCTCATAGTTAAGGAAACCGCAAATTTTAGTAGGATGCCTCGTATGATGTAAGGTCTATTCCTTAATGAAGGGAGAATGGGAGGTCTGGGTTTGGGGGATGATTGCTCAGAGCAGAGCTTTTCTTCTCGCGACCCCCTCCTTCTTCCATCCTGGAATCCTTTCCCTCCTCGATATGCCCACTGGAAGCCTTGGAGGCAGACTGGCACGCGGACGCTGACGCACCTGCTCCCGACGTCGCGGATGCTCTGCGCACGCAGGGCTTCCTGCAAAGGGAGGCCCCTGTTCAGGCCGGGGCCCTGGCCTTTGAAGTGGGGGAAGTCTGCTCTTGGCGTCTCGTTTGTTGTTATTTTTTTTGAGGTGGATATGCAAGCCGACAGTGGCCCGCACTTGCAGGGTGCGAAGAAGATGACGAAGGCGGAAGAGGTGCCTTGCCGTCCTCGTTTTTGTGACTCTTGCAGGTGCGCTGTCGAGTTTCGCCGAGGTGCTGATGGATGCGAAAGTCCCGGAAGTGGAGACGCAGACATCACGTGGCGCAGAGAGGTCAGGAGCTGCGGTTGGCTCTACACCGCAACCGGAAGTGAGACCGAGCCAGTCACCGACGCCTCCGGCGGAGCCGCGAGAGCCGACGCCACAGAGTCGCCAGGCTAATCCGGAGCCCAAGGCCGTGAGCCAGCCAGGGCCCGCCCCGTCAAAGAGCAGCACAGAGTCCAAGGAGGGTCCCGCCGGGAAGAGTCCAGACCCTACGGCCGGGAGCACGAAGGAGAAGCCGCCAGCACACAAGGAGACAACGAGCGCGGGTGAGCGAGCAGAAGTGCTTGAAAGGGCAGCGGACAAGCTGGAAGCAGAGGCACCGCCTCCTGAGGCTGACAAGCCGCACAAAGCCGCAAAGCCCAAGGAGCCCGTCAAGCAAGCTGCTAGAACAGGAGGTGAGTCGGCTGCGAAAGCACCCGCTACTTCCAGCTCTCGTGGTGAAGCTGGCCAGCCGGAAGTGCCAAGTCAGCCAAGGAGTGAGGGAAAGCCCCGTGTGGTCGAGTCGTCTCGGCCAGAGGCGACTCGTCAGCTCACATCATTTTCCAACGCTCACATCTTGTTTGGAGTGTTTTGAAATCTTTGCTTCTTCCATGTTCTTCTAATCTGTGCTCTAATCTGTGCTATAAGACAAGACGGAAGAAGTCCATAAAGCATTATGCTCGAGAAATAGCCGACCAAGGCACCGAACCCACCTGCAAGTGGGCCCGACGTGAAAGCTTTGCGGTCACAGCCGCCGCAGGCTCCAGCAACTGGGCGACGTCTTAGAGAGCAGAATCTCGTGTTCAAGCCCGGTCATTCGTAATGAATTTCTGTTCTGGGCCCGCTCGCGAGCTCCTCTGCACTGGGGGCTTGGAACCGCCGAAAAGCCGAGGCGCCACCGAAGGCACCGCCCCGGGTACCGCCCAAGGCGCCCAGCCCACGACCCCAAGCGCCGCAGGCAGGAGCATGGGAGTCGCTAAAGAGTCCACCGCTTTTTCTTTTGTTCTCCTGGCTGGCTGTCCAATGGCTGTCCAACGACGCTTGTTTTTCCGAGTCCGAGTCGTACTGGTGTGATTGTTCGTGGCCACATGTGAACGTACATAGCATGCGGCGTGGAAAAGAAATTCTAGTGAGACTGGAGCAGGAGCAGGACTGCAGGAGTGGGAGCATGAGCATCGGCAGCAGCAGCGGCATCTGCTGGCGTCGTCATCGTCGTCGTCGTCTTTCTGCTGGTGTTGTCATCGTCTTTGGTGCACCTGCACCTGTTCCCCAAATCCAGAGATTTCTGTTCGAGGAGGTGCCAGCCACAGCCCCGGAAGACGATGTGTTCGCGGCGCTGACCACGACCTTCGCCGCCCCACACCTCCAGGACACTCCGCTTGGAAAGCAAGCTGCCAGCCGCTGGTTAGAGAAGCTTCCTGAAGATGCCCTGCTGCTGCACTTCTTGCCTTCCTTCCCGCGACACGTGTGCTGGTACTCCTCGACTCCTCGACATCCAGTGGTTCCGAATGTGGGACTTGACGGGGATGCAGAATTTGAAGTCAAGTGTCGCTCACCCCAAAGCCCCAGTTGTCTGACCCTGAGATGGGGGATGATGAGGAAAAGCCGGAAGCCAACAGCAGTGACGACGACCTTGCGCCAGGTACGGGTGGCAGGGGTGTTTGGGAGGAAGGCTTCATGTCTGGACTCTTTCCTTGCTCTGCAGAGGGTTCCAGGGCTCTCTCCAGTGTAACAGCTCCTGTTGCACTAGGTATGAACACTCGGTATTCGTATGACGGCAGCAATATTTAGGCTTTCGGGTTTCAAAACCCTCTCCGACTTCAGCGAAGGCGGCCAAATGGTTTTCGCTGCTTTGCCTTGCGTCTCGGCCGGAAGCGGGAATGTGCTTTAAGAAGAGCTGATGGTTGGCTCGTCTAGCTTGATGTCCCATTTTCTTCATGCTGTCAGTCTACTTCACTGCATGTCATCTAGCAATCTTGCCATTTTTCGAGCTCTAAATATCTCAACCTCAATGAGCCTTTGAGGACTCTGCGAGAGTTTTCGGGCTCCGCTGATGCTACCAAGAGGTTCAGAGGATGTCTGCCTGGGGTGTTTGGCCCGTTTCATTGTTCTTTTTCATGTCCCTGACCGTTTCAAACCGTGACAGTGACCCTGTCGGCAAAACATCGATAGCCGGATGGCCCAGACGCCCAGCCTGAGAGCCTGAGCCATGTATGCAATTTTGCTGCGATAATGTTCCTGTAGCAAAACCCTCCCCTCCTCCCTCCCTCATCTTCTTCCCAGCCGCCTCGACCCCTAAAGTCCCCTCAAAAGTCGCCTGATCATACCCTTGTGGTAGCCTTGCAGTATCTTGCACTACTCTTATGGAGATTACGTAGCGATATAGTACCCTGATGGTGCCGTCATAGTAGCCTTCTACGGGCCTCTTCAGAAGCCTTCTAGTGGCTCTTTTGGTAGCCTCTAGTGGCATATAGTATACTATACCACACCATACTATAATATAATAAATATACTATGCTACAATATATAATATACTATACTATAATATAATATAATATAATGTAGTATAATATAATATAATATAATATAATATAATATAATATAATATAATATAATATAATATACTATAATATACTATAAGATAATGTAGTATGATCTTATATATTTCACGCTCGTCGCACTCTGTTCGCAGCCTTCTGGAGAACCCAAGGCCTCCGACTTAGCGGCTCGGAGTCCTTCGAGTGCCAAGAGCGACTCCCCGAGCAGAGGCCAAAAAAGGGGTTTTGTGGATCAGGGTTCAGGGTTTGGGGATCAGGGTCTTGTGGATTAGGGTGTAGGGCTCAGGGTTTAGAGTTTTGTGGATTAGGGTTCAGGGGTGTAGGGTTTGGGGCCGGCAGGATTAAGCAAAGAATCGCAGTCTTATGAAGTGATACTGTAAACAACACCTCTAGAGGATGAGGCATAGTATCGCTATCCCTTCAGGAAGCCCCTAGACTCGTCAGAACAGTCAGCGAGCAAGTCCTGGAAGGACCACAGACCGGGCCAGGATGGATTACCTGGAGGAGCTGCTTCAGCACCTCTGGGATAGAAAGAAGCTTGGCCGGAATGCAACTGAGCATCTCTGACTGTCTCGGGTGTCGACCTTTTTCCCGAGCCATTCTTTTGGATGTTGTCACCGGGGCTCCGCAGGGGTTAGATCGCAAGGGTTGGGCCACATTCCGGAAGCACCACCCCCAAGCCTTGGAGTGGGGAGTGCCGAAGAGGTCCGAGTTCTGCTTCGGGTCTTCGATATCCTAGGATAAAGCACGCGCAAGTCTGAGATGACGAGCAGAGGAGGGGCCCCAAGTAATGTAAACAAAAGGGGCTTCCGAGGGCCCCTGAGCTGCAAAGAACCCATTCAACCCCCAGAAATCAGGATCTGGGAATCGGAGGCGGTGGAGTCTGCCCTTGGCGGGGCCATGGGGGTCGTGGCAGGCCTCTGGGCCTGTTGGGCCTTCTGACTCAGAGGAGATCGAGATCGATGCATTGATCTGGGAGTGTAGAGAGCTGATTGCGAAATGTGTTACTATCGTGGTCATTGCCCTAAACCCTAAACCCAAGCCGATGGGGGTCATGATGATACTTCTCGAGGTTGCTACAGTTGTTTGGGTGCATGCAGCAGTAGAGTAGCAAGAATGCTGAGTTGCCGCGAGGACCGGGATCTCTGAGAGTCTTGCAAGTCGGTTTGGGGTGCTGCCGAAAATCAGGGACCCTGCGTGCAAGACCTCAACATACCCTGTAGTCGCGGGTTCCGAATTTTCACAAGCCCCCGATTGCGGGAAAAGGTTCGCTTGCGGTAGAAGCTAAACGACAAACCAGGCAGAGTGGATCTGGTCTCCAGCCTGAACACATCGCCGAAACTACGAGACAAGTTGAATGGACAAGGTCACGAGACCAGATCTTCTCATTCTCATCCGTTATGTTCACGAAGGCTCATCTTTTCCTTGAGCTGTCTGGGCAAAGTCCCACAGCGGTTAATGTCCTCGGAAAGTCTGCGACGGACTTTCGGACTCTGGGGGGGGAGTGCCCGGACTTGGTGCGTCGCTCTCATAGGCAGATCTAGGCCCAGGAAAGTCTGCGTACCCTAAACCCTTAAGCCCTAAACCCTAGGCTCCAAAAACCTACAGCCTAAACGACCAAGTCGCGCTGGGCTTCTTCAGTGGAACACCTGCGCACCAAAGGCTGCAACGCCCTGACCCTGTCTGCGTTGTGGCAGTATACCTCCAGATCCAGATCCCTGAAAGCGAAGCGAGTCCCCGGGAAGCTGTTCGACTATGTCACATTGTACTATGTTATATTCTGATTTGTGAGCCTATAGTCTATGTGCCGACTTGCACAGGGTTCTGGGCTTAGGTCTAACTCGTCAATGACATGCCTTGAGGAAACACAGAGAGAGTTCTGTGCGGCCTTGTTGTGTCCTTTTCTCATCTGCATCTCGTCAAGCCTTGGCATTTGAGCAGGGCTCTGAAAACACCAAGTGCAACACGAACACACCTAAACCATCCTAAGCCGGTCGAAGGTGTCCTGTTAGGGGGTTTTTGGTGGCAGTGCCGTATCCTGGTGGGCTTGTGGGTTATCCGATAGCCAAGCCCATTCGGATGTCGGGCGAGCACTGGCGCGTGGGCGCTGCCTCGTGCAAGCAGCCGATATGAATTTTGGCCAATTTAGGGCTTAGGGTTTAGGCTTTAGGGTTCCCGTCGCGTTCCAGCGATTAGACTCTTAGGACGCTTGTGATGTTCTTACTCGTCGCATGCAGCCGTGGCTTTTCGAAAGCTGCGTGTCACCTGCCATCTGATGAAGGTGTCGCAATAGCAGGCTTCGAGTGCATTATTTAGTGAGTCTTCCTTCGGATTTCGGACTACTAGTCATGCCGCGGTGGAGGGTCAAGTGGGGCCTGGGCTTAGTAGAGGCACCCTGTGCACAACGCCGACAGGGATGGAATCGCCGGTGATTGACATTAGCAACGCATGTGAGGCCTCTAACGGGCTTTACTTTACTTTACCGGGTAGCAGGAAGTAAAACCTTTTCACGTACTGTTGTCAACGCGTAGAAGCTGGCATACATTTTGTCCATGCCTGTCGTTTTTGTGATCAAAGTGTTTACTAAAGATCTCACCGGTCATGGTGACCATATGAGCCAGGGTACTGATGCAAGTCGTTCGGTATGTCTGTATTGCAACTCTTGCCAGATTCGACAGCCCAGCGCCAGTCCAAAATACTTGTACTGTCCACTGTGTTTTGCTTGTTCTTTCATCCCATAGCTTCCATTGGTTATTGCCTGTCTACTCTACGTATTCTTCATTCTACTTCTTGCGTCGGCTGGATAGTTCATTGAGCTGCGCAAGCCATATATCTGCTGGATTATGTTTGCTCTTGTGGTTCTCCATTTTCTATCGTTCTGGTATTTGCAACGAAGCAACACCGAGAGTTGGTTGGCCATCAGTACCTTGATCCCAGACGCTTCGAGGCCGGAGGAGGCTCACGAGAGAGGCCCTGAGATAGGCTGGTCTGGGGGCAAAGAGGGTTTAGGGTTTAGGGCTGAGGTTTTGGGCTTCTGAGTTCAGCACCTGAGCCCTCGCAGAGTCCCGGAGCACTGGCTCAGGCTTTCGGATTCGGGTCAGGGCAAAAGGCCCAGGTCGAGGGTTCGGGCCAAGTTTAGGGTTCCAGGGCTGTCGGAAGAGGCTGGGCTCGTTGCCGCTGCTGTTGAAGATGGCGATGACATTGATGCCGCCGATGGCGATGGTGATCATCGTGACGGTGGCAGAAGCGCAGATGCTGCTGAGGATTAGCTTAGGGTGTACTACTATATTAAAGATGTTACAAGGGTTCTGTACGGATCAGCAGGGTTGTGCTGGTGATGATGGTGTTGTAGCCGATGGCGAGGATAATGTAGTGGGCTACTGCTGATGATGCTGCAGAGGAGGACCTGGGAATTGCAGCAAGAACCGCAAGTGACACCGAGTTGGACATGTGCTGTCAGGCGGCCAAGATCAGATCGAATCTGACCTTATGCACTTTGATGAAGAGGACGTGCCGGTGTTGAGCCTTTTGCCGCCTTTTTGTTAGGCCATGGGAAGCTCAGAGGTTTCGGCTCTTTGTGCTTCTGCGCCTCGGGCTGAGGGACTGCTTTTAGAGGGGCTTAGGGCTTAGGGTCTCAACTCAAAAATCCCAGACTCGACAGGAGCAGCGGCTCATCTCGGATATCATGACCGTCGTCCCAGGCTCGCTGGACCCGGACTTTCCCAAAAGGATGGACGAATCCAACTGGTCCTGAACCTTCTAGAGTTGACATTCAACTCTTCCCTGCATTTTCTACTGGAGAAATTTGCCTGGCCCTCAAACCCTGAACCCTAGACCCGAAAACCTACTCCCCAAACCCAAAAACAGGCACCAACCCAGTTGCCAAGGCCGCCAAACCGGGGAAGCTCCACCCCCTTAATCTCCGAAGCCTGATACCGAAAGCTTGTGAGCCCCGAGTGAAAAACCCGAAGCTGCTCTTTACTCAAAGGCCCAAAGCCCCCAACTGCAAGCTTCGAAGCGAAACTCCCCCAAACTCGACGCCCCTGAACACAAATGACTATGTTTATGACGTATTATAATTTTTGTTTGTTTTAGCAATATGACTCTTAGTGTTAGCAGTACTCTGATTATTCTGAATATTAATATTGTTATTATTACTACTATTATTAGTATTACTACTATTAATGAGTACTGCTATTATTGTTACTATTATTTTTACCGGTTCCTCGTCCCCTGAGCCCCTCCCCTTGCCAGCCGAGGCACCGTGGCAGACCCAGCGGAGGTCGAACCCGACCAAAGAGCCGTCGCTGCGCTGCAGGGTTTAGGGTTTAGGGATCGTGGTTTGGAATTTATGGTTTAGCGTTTCTGTTCTTTGGGAGTTATGGTTTAGAGTTTGGGGTTTAGGTCCAGTGTTTCAGGTATCAGGGCCGGAGTGCCTTTGCAGCTTTCCGACGATCTTAGCGTTTCTTCATGGCTGAGTTCCCTTTACTCGAGATTTCTGGGCAAGTCGGATCTCGGGTGTCCCTCTCAGAGGAGCTAGGGGAGTCGTTCGCCTGTGCTAAAGTGCCTGGGCCGCTGTCATGTTTGCTAAGAAGGCCCTCAATTCCAGATCCCAAACGGTAAAACCCTGAGCCCTCCAACCCTCAATTTGGAACGCGAAACCCTCACCCCTAGGCCCTAAGCCCTAACCCGTAACTCCTGAACTCTAAAGCCTGGTAACCTCTTTCCCGAGGACGGGGTGCTGCCGGAGGATGTGCACTCTCCGGCCGCGAAATCCGGAGCCGAAGGTGGCGAGGAGCAGAAAGAGACGGAGGCGCCATGAAAAGCCTGTGAGGGCCCTTCATGGGGCTTTTAGGGCCTAAGGGTGGCAGGCGTGCTACCGAAGCGGCGGTGTTGCAGAAAACATGTTTAGTGATGAGTTCGGGTTCTTGGATCCGGAAGCGAGGGTTACACTAAAAGGAAGTTGCTGTCACAGAAAATGTTGTAAGGGACTTTTATCTTCGAAAATTCCCTAACTACGCCGCTTCTGCCGCGTAAAAGGTGGTAGGATCGCTTATCTTGGGTTCGGCCCAGAGCCACTATTGATGGTGGGGAACCGGTAGCAGTGTTGAGTGCCCCATACAACTATCACCATTATCCTTACGGTCACCCTCATCATTGCTGATGCCATGTTCCCGAAGCCGGCTCTGATATCCAGGAGTTGCGACAGCGGCTGATGAACGAGGTTCGCCGAGTCAGACGACAGCTTGTTGAGGGTTGGAGCGTCTCGGGACCTTGTGTTCAGTCAGATGTCTTGAATAGCTGCAGCTTCCACCCATATGCACACGCCCCATCCACCAGCACATAGACAAACAAAGCACTTGGGCGACTGCTACACACGCAGGATGGCTCCTGGCCAATCTAGGACGACGGACATTGTCTCGAGCCGACTGTCAAACCCAATTTAGTCTAGCGAACTTAAACTTTGACTTAACAGGACAACCTGTGGTCGTTGCTGCCGCAGTAGTCGTAGCAGTGGTCGCAGTAGCATCATAGTTGCAGTAGTAGTAGTAGTAGTAGTAGTAGCAGCAGTAGTAGTAGTAGTAGTAGTAGTAGTAGCAGTAGTAGTAGTAGTAGTAGTAGTAGTAGTAGCAGAGTAGTAGTAGTAGTAGTAGTAGTCGTCGTAATAGT